GTTGCTGCTGCGGCTGCAGCAGCTGCTGCCGCTCGCCCCTGTGAATGGGTAGTTGTAGCGGTTGTACGATTTGCTGCAGCAGGTGCTGGTTTGTGTCTGCTGCTGCATTACTAAAAGCTACATCTAAGGGTCTATGTGTTGCTGCTGCATTACTAAAGGCTGCATCTAAGGGTCTATGTGTTGCTGCTGCTGGCAGCTGCAGCAGCAGAGACGGCCTCAGGGGCCCCTGTGTGTGCTGCAGCGGCAGCAGCAAATTGCTGCTCCTTCTGCCTGCATAAAAGGAAGGAGACGACGCCACAGAGAGGCCCTCTACAACAGGATAGCGGTTGCTGCTGCTGCTGCTGCTGCTGATATTGCTGCTGCTGCTGCTTGGCCTGCCGATATTGTTGATATTGCTGCTGCTGCTGCCGCTGGTGATACTACTGCTGCTGCTGCTGCTGCTGGTGAAGGTGTATGTATGTGCCCTTTTCCAGGCCTGTTTGCATTTAGCTGTGCATCTGCTTTTTTTGTTTGTTTGTTTATTTTTATTTGCTGCAGGCTGAGGAGAGAAACAAAAGTCCGCAACCCACTGTACAGCAGCGGGGCTGTCTGCTGCTGAAGGCAAACAAAACGCATGCAAAGGGTACAACGATTTGCTTTTCTTGTGTCTTTGCTTCTTCCATTGCAGCCTTAACGCCTTTATCTGTAAGTCGCCTGCACTTCCTCCTGCTCCCGCTCCCGCTGCTGCTGCTGCTGCTGCTGCTGCTGCTGCTGCTGCTGCTGCTGCTGAACCTGCTGTTGAACCTGCTGCTGCAGAGCGCCCTAACGCCTCAAGCCGCACTTCTCCCAGCGTCTTTGCGCATACAGAATATTCAAACAAATTCATTGACTCTTCCTCTCCTGCTGCTGCTGCTGCTGCTGCTGCTTCTGCTGCTCGCAGCTCTTCCAGCAGCTGCAGAGCCGAACCCATCCAGGCCTTCAACTCCTGCTGCTGTTGCTGCTCCTGCTGCTGTTGCTGCTCTTTTTCGTGTAGTAACTGCAGCTTCCTGAGTGGGTCTGTGGCTGCTACAGCAACAGCAGGAGCAGCAGCAGCAGCAGGGGTAAGAGCGATCTGTTCCGAGTTGCTGCTTCTGCTGCTGCTGCTGCTGCTGCTGATTGTGTGCGGTGCTGCTGATAAAGAACCCGAATGAGGCAGCAGCGAGCGACAGAAGCCGTTGATGCATGCGCTGCAGCCGCTACGGCACCTAACTGTCTCCCCACATGCATCACCATCAGCAGCAGCAGCAAAGACGCATACAAAAGCAGCAGCAGACAAATGAGGCATGCTGCTGCTCACCCCTTCACCTGCTGCTGCTGCTGCAGAACTGGAGGGAATTACCTGTAAAGATCGAAGCTGCTGATCCTGCTCCTGTTGCTTATCCTGCTCATGTTGTTGCTGCTGCTGCAGCAGCAGCTGCTGCTGCAGCTGCTGCTGCTGCTGCTGCAAGGGCTCATTGATTGCTTGTAGTGCGCGAGGTGCTGTAAGGGTTTGGGTGTAGATGTGTTGTGGGGTGTTATTATTATTGTGCGTATTTGCTGCTGGAGGATTTGCTGCAGCATTAGCAGCAGCAGCAGCTGCTGCTGCTGCTGCTGCGCTGACTTGCTGGCACTGCAGCAAGCCGCATGCAGCAGCATCTGAGGGATCGCAGCTGTCGCCTAATGCCTTTGAAGGAGACAAACAAATGCCTCTGTCTAAACTGCAGAGAAGCCCCCTCAAACAAAGCAGCGAAGAAGTTATGCATGCGCCGCCTACACGAACAGTTGAGGGATATAAACAAACGCCTGCAGCACACAGAGAAGCAGCAAATAAAATATATATATATATATATAAATTAATATAAACATACAAACAATCAACTGCTGTACACAGCTTTCACAGAAATAATCAATTGTTTTAGCAATAGGTAAACAAACAAATATATACATACATATATATATATATATATATATATATACATTTAATATGCATGCATGCATAATGTATTCATTGATAT